TGAAAATAGAGCTACACTACAACCCAGGAATTGCACTACTGGGTATTTACCCTAAAGATCCAAATGCAGTGATCCAAGGGGGCACATGCACCCGAATGTATATAGCAGCAATGTCCACTATGGAAAGAACCTAGATGTCCATCAACAGATGAATGGATAAAGTAGATGTGGTGTATATATATACAATGGAATATTATGCAGCCATCAAAAGAAATGAAATCTTGGCATTTGCAACTACGTGCATGGAACTAGAGGGTATTATGCTAAGCAAAATAAGTCAATCAGAGAAAGACAATTATCATACGATCTCCCTGATATGAGGAATCTGGGAGGCAGGGTGGAAGGTTTGTGGGGTAGGGAAGGAAAAAAATGAAACAAGATGGGATCCAGAGGGAGGCAAACCATGAGAGACTCTTTAATCTCAAAAAATAAACTGAGGGTTGCTGGTGGGGTGAAGGGGTAGGGACAGGGTGGTTGGGTTATGGACACTGGGGAGGGTATGTGATATGGTGAATGGATTCACAGACCTGTACCCCTAGGGCAAATAATACATTATATATTAATAAAAATAATTTTTTAAAAAAGGTCAGACACTTAAGCAAGTGAGCCACCCAGGCACCCCCCAGTTTTTTTTATTCTTTTTTTTTTATTAAGTAGGCCCCACGCCCAGCATGGAGCTCAATGCAGGACTGGAACTCTTGCCCCTGAGATCTAAACTGCAGACATTTTAAAACACACTAGTTCTCTACCCACCAAGTGGGTCAACAAATCATGGCTTCTCCTCCTGAGTACATCCCTTTCTTGCCATCTTTCAACCACCCTTTCTACTACCTTCTTTATACCTCTACCTCTACCTCCTTCAACTGCACTCCTGCAAGACTCAAAACTAGGGCACAAGCACTATCCCACTCAGAACTTCCAGGGACACCCCACTGGCCCAGTTCAGTCTTCAGATCAGACTTTTGCCCCACCTTCCCCAAGGGACACTTCCTTTGGCTTTACTCCTCGGTCCTCAGGCATGGCCTGATCTTTCGCTCCTCCACCTTCTTCGGGTCACCTAAGGACAGCCCCTCATCTTGCCTGCCTGCCACAGACTCAGCCTTCCCCCCATTTTGCTGTCTAGGTGCCCCGTTTATTCGAAGTCTCTCAAGCCCTCACCAGTATTTGGCTGATGCTGCCTTATATTCCACTGCCCCCTCCTGCCCCTTCGATTCAATGGTAGATCCCTGATGATACCAGCACCATTCAGGTGCCTAATATCTGCTGAACAGTCTCATCTTGAACCTTCCTCCTCTCTCCTCACTCCCCTGTTGAACACTGTCCTTGTTTAGATCACCTACCTCCTTACTAGACCATAGCAGTAACCAACTTGCCTCCAGTCCAGTCTCCATACTCATAATAGGGGCTTTTTTTTTAATATATTTTTTTAAATGTTTTTAAATAAACCCTATGATATGCCCAGCATGGGGATCGAACACACAACCTCAAAAGCAAGAGTCCCACATTCCACTGACTGAGCAAGAGGCACCCCAAGGTCACTTCTTAAAACCACCACAGCTGGGCGCCTGGGTGGCTCAGTTGGTTAATCAACTGCTTTCAGCGCAAGTCATGATCCTGGAGTTCCAGGATCAAGTCACAGATTGGGGGGGGGAGGGGGTCCCCTGCTCAGCAGGGAATCTGCTACTCCCTCTCACCTTCCCCCCTCTCATGCTCTTCCCCCCTCAAAAAAAAAAAAAATAAAAAAAAAAAAAAAAAAAAAGGTTAAAAAAAAGAAAAACAACCACCACAGCTGTGCTCCAAGTTCCTTCTGGTTCCACCCCAACCTTCTAGAACATAAAGAAAAGGTGCCCAGTCTTCTCTCTCACCCCTTGCCTCTGCTCACTTTTTTTCCTTCCAGAGTTGAGACCTTCCTGCCATCAACTCCTTCACCAATCAAACCACTACCCTGAAGGTCCAGCTCAACTGAAGTCCCACCCTAAAGCCTGCCCTCCGTACGTAGCCTAGGACCCAGGCTCCTCGGCTTACTTCAGCATGGTGCCCAGAGCACCAGCAGAGGCCCCAAGAAGGCTCAGATAAACGCTAGTTTCTGAGAATGGTCCCTCACAGCATGTTCCTGGAATTCTGCATGGAGTCCTTGATCACTTCTCCCACACTGCCCTGGCACTGTGCCCACCACCAAACACCTGGGCTTGGTCTTCACCAGAGAAACACCCAACCAAGGCTACCAACATCAGTCTGATGCAACACAAACTCAGGAGGGCACAGTCAAATGTTCAACCTGTATCCAAATCCAGACTCTGCCACATGATGACAAGTTGTGTGACCTTGGGAACATTCCCTCATCTAGGACTCTGCTTCTTCAGTCAACATAAAGGATTGTCATAACCACTAGCAATAGTGCACACAGAACAAAAACAGAAAGCCCATGACTGTGGCTGACGTAGCCTATCACATCTCTGACCTAGAGAGCAAGAAAGGCCAGAACAACTGTAAGGTAAAGGATTGTACATACTCTCATGTGCATTGAGAATGAACACACCTGTTTAAAAAAAAAATGAACACACCCGTACTCTGAGACCAATACAACAGCCCTGCCCAACAGGAAATGCAATGCCTCAAGTTCAAGAGATAAGATTTTTAACAATCATACGCCATGCCTCTTCTTTCCTGAACAATTTCAGTCCAAGTGGCTCCAGGATCCCCCTCTTACCACACCCTTCTCAGTGTTTTAACAGACACCAGCGAACTCACACAAGATAGAGTTAAATCCTTGGTCATGTTACTCTTCTGACCCACACATTCCTGAATACAGACTTCTTCTCCTTGTCCCCAACCTCCCCCCCCACAACCCCAGCTTGACATTCCCTCTGCTCAACCTTTTCAGACTCTCAGCTGGCTCCTCCTCCCACCTCAGCTCTCCCCTACTGGCAGACCTCACAGCCGGAGGTCCTGAACCCCTCCCCCTCCCTGACACTACCTATGTGGTCACCAGCAAGATCTTTCTAAACACAGGTCTGGACCATGCCACTCCAGTAATTTAAAAGCCTTCTCAGGCTTCTGCACCCTGAGAATAAAGTCAGAACTCCCCAGCACAATGGGCCTAGAGAAAGGCCTAGAAAGGCCTAGAGATCCCACTGGCCAAGCTGGAGGACTCACAGGTGCTATTTTAGGAGCTCATGTACATGTGGTTCCCTGCATCCAGACCTTGCTGTCCCCCAACTAATTACTGCTGGCCCTGCAAGCCTCAGCTTAGGAATTCCCTTTCCTCAGGCTCCCAAAGCACCATGTGAGCACACTTACTGGGTTAGATACTATCAATCACAGGTTCCCTAATTCCCACTGTCCCTGAAACTTCGTTCCTTAAGGGCAGAACCAGCCTCTTTTACATGACTCCCCTGAACCTACCACAAAATTAGGCAAGGAGTGATGCCAAATATTCATTAAATGAATGAATGTACTTTGTCATACCAACTTTTCCAAAACAGTAAAGACTTGCTCTCTTCCTCTTTCAACCAAGGCTCGTATCAACAAGAGCTTTCATATTCCAGCCGGGTGTTTGTTGCCTGTACAGTACTGCTTACTCTTCCTTTCATACATTTTGAACAGGCTCACACTATGCACCTTCATCTCTCCTCAAATCTGCTTTCTCCAAGAAATGGCTCCTCAGCCTCCTTTAAACATGCAGACCATGAGCTCTTATTCCTTGGCTCCACAGCAAACAAAGTTCAATTCAACTTCTCTGGAGTCCAACTAGAGATTTGTATGCCTCCAAGGTTGAATCTTTTTAAAAACAGGGACATTCCAAAATTATCATGTCTCTAAACACTCACCATAGAGCAACCTGATAAAGTTACAGTATCCCATCTACAGCAGACTCAAAAACACCTGGTAGCAAATCCAACTCTTTATCTGGGCTAATGTCCTATAAACACCACCCTCCCTGCGCTGAGTCTGGGTTCCATGCCAGGAATCGCTTCTCCTCGCTTATTTAGGGAAATAGCAGGACCGGCTCTTAAGTTAGAACTTCAGGCTATAAACGTGCTGTCCCAGGCTCTAGCTTCCACCAAGGCAAAAACTTCATGCTCATCATTAAAACTAATTCTGAAGTCAGTTTACAAACCTAAGAGCCTCACATGTCATAGAAATTAAAATATGCATTTTTAATTAGCACTTAAGTTTGTATGAAATTAACTTGGAATTTTTGGCAGGATTCTAAGCAGAGAGAGCATTTTCTCCAGAGACACTTTACAAATACACCCGCTGGTGAATCCGTTTTTCCGAACACCAAGTAAAAAGGTGAAAAGGCAGGAGGCTTCCAAAGAAGCTCGAGTTGGGGGGTGGGAGGGTGACCCCAAGGCTCTCTGAGCAGCTCAGGTCCCAGCGGCTGCGGCGCCCTTCCCCGCCTCTTGCGGGGGGTCAGTGCCCCATCCTCCGGCTTCTGTCCAACTGGGCCGCGCGACGACCCTCTTTGCAAGCCCAGGGGGAGGACCCAAGGCCGTATACGCCTGTGGCCAGCGCGCAGGCCCCGCGTTCCCCGGAGCGCGGGCCGGGCTGAGGCCTGGCCCATCGCCGCGGCGCGGAGCCCGGGCCCGGCCGCGGAACGCCCTAAGCCTTCGCCTGAGGGGCCGCGAGGAGGGGGGCAGCTCTCCCCGGGCAGTGCCGCTGCCTCACCCGCAAGGACGTCCGCAACCGTGTCCCCACCCCGGGCCAAACCGCGAGCAGCAGCAGGTGTTCCTTGGGAGGCTCGACCGGCCACGGGGATGGGGGCCTGGGCTGCTAGGCTCGGCGGCAGGGGACGGGCGGCGCACTCACCGAGCGCCGGCGGGCGAGCCGCGGCAGGTGCTTGCTCCTCCCGGCCGCAAGACGCCACGCCGCCGCCGCCGCCGCTCCCCGGGGACTCGGCGCCAAGCTGCCGTCGCCGCCGTCGCCGCCGTCGTCGCCGCCACCACCGAGCCCGAGGACCGCGAGCGCCGCACCGCAGCCTCCGCGCGAGCACGTACCGGGCGGTGAGAGGGCGCCGAGCGCGAGGGCGGGGCGCGCGGCCGGAGCCTAGCAACCGCCTGACACGCGAGTGCCGCAGCCAATCCCGCCGCCAGCTCCGCGCGGCACCGACCAGCAGTCCGCGCGACGCCCGCTTCTGCCTGCGTCCGCCGCCCCGCAGCGCGCCGCACCCGCGCGCAGGCCCCGCCTCCACCCGCGCCGCTTTGCTCATTGGCCCGCCACGCCCCCGCCCGAAAAGACACGCCCCTCCCTGGAAGCCCCGCCCCACGGAGGCCGGGTCCGTCCCCCGAACACGCCCCGGCCGGTAAGGGTTGCCCCCAGTCCTCTGGCCTGGCCGTGGGGGAGGGGCACCCCACCCAACCTCAGGCCTTCCGGCTGTGAGACTCGTCCAACGCACCCAGGGTGGTCGGGCTCGGGAACTGGCTCTGCCACAGAAGGCCACCTATCGTTTGGCTCTCCTGATTTCTCTCGAATGCAAATCAAGAGGTATTTCTAAGCCGTGAAAACGATCAGGAAGCGTCCTCTGAATCGCTAAGGATGACTACCCTGTTGCTTGGCCCTTACACGGATCGGGAAACTGAGGCGAGGGCCGGAAGAGAGGGAAGCTGGCCTCTCTCCAAAGGCCTAGCCCCTAGCAGGCGAGGTCGTCCGGGAAGCGCCTCAGGCCTGACCCTGTCCCCTTCCCCTGCCCCCAACTCCGGAATCCGATGCCTCCTCTGGCGCCAGAAATAGCTCTGACCCGCTGGCGCTGGTCACTCACTACTTGTAGCCTGCATTCTTTCAGGGGGTGGGGGAGTAAGGAGCGGAGGTTACTGCAGAGGTCCTTCTCCCTTCAAGGGGAGGGTCCTAAAGGGGCTCGCTCGTCCCAGGGTTTACCTATGGCCTCCAACCGCAAATGCCCCAGAGACCTGAAAAATCACTGGATGGATCTAGGGATGGGATCCATGATGGACTCTGCTCCCTTTCGCTCCCAAATCCTGCTCAAGATGTGTCCATTCCCTCCTGGGCCTGTGTCCAGGTTGGAATTCCAACACAGAACCTTTGTCAGAGAGCACATTTTTTTTTTTTTTTTTTTTTTTTTTTTTTTTCTTTTTTTTTTTTTTTTTTTGTCAGAGAGAGTGAGCGAGCACAGGCAGACAGAGAGGCAGGCAGAGTCAGAGGGAGAAGCAGGCTCCCTGCCGAGCAAGGAGCCCGATGTGGGACTCGATCCCAGGACTCTGGGACCATGACCTGAACCGACGGCAGCTACTTAACCAACTGAACCATCCAGGCGTCCCCAGAGAGCACATTCTGAACACAGAGCTGGCTGCTGCCTGTTAGGCTGTCCTCCCTGAATCCATACAGGTGTGAGTCTCCCCTGCCTTCTCCCCACTCCTTAAGGAGTGTCCTGGAGAAACAAATTTCAGAGAGCCAGAAGGAAAGTCATCTTCCAAATGCACATAGCTGTTTGTGATTTTTTTTTAAAGATTTTTAAAATGTATTTGACAGAGAGAAAGCACAAGAAAGGGGAGTGGAAGAGGGAGAAGCAGACTGCCTGCTGAGCAGAAAGCCCCAGGAGGAGCTCTATACTAGGACCCTGGGATCATGACCTGAGCCAAAGGCAGACACTTAACCGACTGAGCCACCCAGGTGCCCC